TACCAATAATATTGGTGCTATCACAATTAACCAAAATTAGAAAAATAAATTTCTCAAAATAAAGTGTTCGATATGATAAAATCAATCCTTTTTTCACTAGTTGAAGCTTAATGTTTTTTTTACTTCAACCTCCATAGTAGAATTAACAAATTATATAATTTTCTTTTCTCATTTCCAACAAATAGCACCAAGTTTTCTCATATGCACCAACAAAACTTTTAAGTATAGCATAATATTTTTCTCATAAAACAAGCCACCAAATATCGTACCAAGTAAATTTTCATAATTTTGCTTGTACATAGTATACTCAATACACAATGTCATATAAAGTGCAATTAGTCACATGTCTCATAATTTTTATTAGGCTAGCTAACTCTTTCTTTCTTCGTCACACCATTTCCACTATTGAATCAAAAGGAGTTGCAAGACTCACACAACCAATAAGATTGTCTTTCACAATTTTTTCAATATTATGTGATTTGACAAGGAAATTTCATCGCATGGTTTATGTTATATTTTCATTCAAAGAACAAAAGTTATCTCACCATACATTTCATGCTAAATGGCTACCTAACATGTTTTTCGTAATTTATTTATACCTCTCGTAGAGTCATAAGTCATCCCATTATAACCAAACTACAACATGTGATTTATTTCAAAATAAACTCATAATACTCTTTTTAGAGCATTTCTCAAAGATATAAAAAAATCACCGTTTCAGAATGATTTTTTTCATTTTATAAACCTCCACTATTTTAAGAATTTAAATATCATTTTTTTCATGAAACATAGTATCACTTTATGCATGAAATATATTAGGTAAAAAGTGTTTTTGCTTTACTTTTTCTCCGCTTGAATTGAGTAAGTAGAAAAATATTTTACCGTACATCTCTTCTCTTCTCTTCCAAATATTTTACCCGTGCATCTCTTCTCTTCTCTTCCATCTTTTGAAGAGAGTGACGTTGAATGGAATGATGATATAGTTGTTTGAATAACGAGTTACATTTACGTACCGAAGGTGATCAAAAAGATTTGACGAAAACCGGGCATACATTCGAGAGAGAGAAGGATTAGTTCGTGTCTGGGCCTATCTTGATATCTGCACTGTAACAAAAACATGAATCTCCTTAAAATTGTTGGTGTAATATACCACATATACAATAAATTACAATTGAAAATAAAATGAATAAAAAATAAATAAATTATAAATCAGGTTGAGGCACAAATATCTCACTATTTTAAAGGAGATTCAAGCCCAATGCGGCATAATCTACATCGATCTAGCAGTATCACTCTTGACTTGTTCACTCCAAGATACAACAACCCAACAACTTCATACAATTCAAGCAACTCCAGATTAGTTGAAGAGTCCAAAGCTCCACATAAGAACACCTTCCTTCAACATATAATTAATCTCTTTTATATAGTGAATATAGTTGAAGACTTAGAGTATTTTTTTTGTCTCAACTCTCTCTTTTACTACACTAACCTCACTACAATAAATTTCCACACTTTTCATCTTTTCTTTAGATACCCTTCACAAAGGAAGAAACACCACTATTTATAGGTGAAAACGTCTTTCATATAATCAATGGATAGAATGAGGGATAGTCATGTGGATAGATGAATGTGGTAGATGTTACATAAGTTACAAGAAACTAATGACCCTGAGAGTTACAAAAAACTAATAGATATCTTTTACTACAATTTATACTCATTAACATAAGCACTCAACGGTTAAAATAGCTTTTGTAGGTAGTTCTTTTAAGGATACTTGTACTAGATATATTACTAACTGTTTTGCTAGATATATCAATAGTATATCTATGCTTTGGAGAGATATGAATATATTCATTCATTAATTTTATAATATTTCAGATTACTTAGAAAATTATGTGCAGTACAATAATAATTTAGCTACTTTCTTCTAGTAAAATATGTCTAATCAAATTTAAAATATCCCAGTTTATTTATCCAAAATTATCTTGGGAAATAGGTGGGATAGTCCAAGCTAATTTAGATAAAGTTTAACATTCATAAAATATATTTTGTAAGAATTTAGCCGTACTACTTTTCGATAGGAATCTGGGTTCTTTAGCTAGGGAATTTTGTGAGTTTGGTTGGAACCTTGTCCGTTAATCTAAATAGTTGTTCTCTTGTAGTGATTCTACTTCATTTACAACAATGAGAAAATTGGGAACCCCAAATAAAGGCATAATACATAAAACATGACTTTTAACATGATTTTAGCAAACTATGTACTCCAACTTTGAGTATCTACAAGTAGACACTTAAACTTGTACATAATACAAGTAGGATGGCACATATGATACAAAATTGCCATATAGGGTGCCATGTAGGACGAATCTATCTATTTGTTCAATTTTTTGTATTCAAGTTTAAGTGTCTACTTGTGCACACCCAAAGATAAATGTCATAGTTGTCAACTGACGTTAAGTTATGGGTTATGTTAATGTATTATGCCCTGGGGATAGTTCTTGACTTGTTTTATTAAGTCACGTTGAAGTTGAAGGAATTTCCGTTATTGTCCTCCCGTTATTCTTTATGCAATTATGAAAGCGATGGATTGATGGTACATTTCAATCTTGCTTCTTTCTTCATTTAAATCATTTATAGGTTGGCCACCTAAGGAACGGTTGCGTTTACATTAAACAACTCCACATGGTACAACAATTCAAATGGTAATGCAAGTTCAAAAAAATAATTCCTTTCCAAATAATTATTGCATATTTCGTGTAACAATAAATCAATCTTTTTTGAATTATTTTTTGAAATAGGGGGTAATAACTTGTATTTTTAAATTTAAGGGACAAATAAAAGTGAATATATATTGCTTTGCCGACCAAGGCGTTCAATCCGACTCTTACATGCATGTCGGTGGGAATTGAAGAAAGACTGCCGAAGAACTTGACTATTAAACAGGGTTGAATAAGCTTTTTATACCCCTCACAGTTATCAACCATTCAAGCTTTTATCTTTTATCTTAAATTACGTTATGATTTCTAATTACCGTTTGAACATGATTTGGAATCGTTTTAAAATTTCAAATTGTCTAAAAGGTGGAATTTTACATTCCAAATTATTTTTAAAATGTAATGTAATATTTCATATAAGTTTATATTTTATAAAAAGATTTTACATTTTGAAAAAAATAAAAAAAAATTTGTAATTGATTATATTAAAGAATAGCTAATTATTATTGCTGATTAGTGAATCTTTAAAATTAAGAGAATTTGTAAGTTTGTAGCTACAAACTTTTATTTATAAAAGGAATGCTCATTTCATAAGACTGTAAAATCGAGGAAATTTTAATAACTTTCAGAAATTATGAAATTTTTATGTCTATAAATACAACTTAAAAAATCTAAATTATATGTGTGCATAAAACTTCAAACCAATTTAATTTCAAATCATGTTGAAATAGGGCTAAAAGTACTAATGCAGGGAAAGAGAAGCATGCTACCATCTCTAGAATCAAATTTTTAATAGAGATTTTCTTTTAAAAAAAATTGTTTGCATTGAGAGTGATGAGGTTCTTTTTTTCTTTTTTTTAATTTATCACTCGGTGTTAGTAGCGTGCATTGAAGTGTCGACTAAATTTAGATTGTGCATTGCAGGGCGCATTCGGAACTGATAATTCCAACACGATTTTCTCTATATTCAGAGCTCTCAAACCTAAGACCTTTGATTAATGGTGGAGCAGCCTCACGACCCCACCGTTGCAGCACAACCCAAGAGTGATGAGCTATACACCCATGTTAACATAAGTTAGAATTATCACCATTCACTCATCGAGAAGTATTCAGGGGGTGATGAATTCAAATTAATGGGGTAAATATGTTTGGGACTATCGAATAGTTAAAGCATAAACGAAAGCTAGAATTACTAAATAGTATTCTCTTTCTCCCATATTAGTTGATCATTTTCTATTTTTCACGGGGATTAAGAAATCATAAACAAGAAGATAACTTTACTAATTCACCTCTTAATTTATTTTTTTGGAAATTTTAGAAACAAATGTGAATACTTTTAAAAAGAATTAATTGCAAAGGTAATATAGAAAAAAATATTTAATGCTTTCCTGATTTATTAAGGTGATGAACTAATGTCAGACAACTACTCCCTCCGCCCAACAATATTTATCCATTATATTATTTTTGAATATCCAATAATACTTGTCCACTTTATAAAATTAATGGATAATATTTACACTTAGGTTATCTTTATCATTAATTATAGTCATATCTCTGTTTCATTTGTCAAGACATTATATTTATCATATTCAAAGATAATATAGTAAAATTATCATTTTATTTATAATTTCTAAAAAAATGTGCAAAGTCAACTGTAAACAAATATTATTAAATAAAGAAAATATTTTTAATATAGTAATCAACTAATATGAAATAGAGAGAGAGTATTGCTCAGTCTCATGAAGGTAACAAAAGAATAAGGATACCGAATGGTTTTATAATTTTTTTTTAGAAAATGAGTAGATAAATAATTGGGAGAATCGTCCTCAAAAAAACAAGAAGAGTTGGTAGCAGAGGGGAAAGGAAAGAGAGAATTTAATAAATTCACGGGCATTTTTCTCTTTGTTAGTAACTTGCACAGAGAAGCAGTGTAGGTGTCTGTGTGTGATCCAACGTCCTTCACCTCTTTTTCTTCAACTACCACATTTAAATCCCTCTTCCCCCTTTCCCTAATTCAACTTCATCCATATACAGGGAGGGAGCTTGGAATCTTTGTTTATTGATTATTGAATGTGGGATCTGGATTATAAGTTCCTTTTTTTCTTCATTTCCACTTTGATAAACAAGTTGAAGAATCAAGTCTTAACCCCATAACATTTGGATCAAAATTCCTTTGTCTACTTGCAACTTGTATTCTTTAATATATGGACAATGCCTCTAATCTGAATACTCCATTTGTCTAGTCATACACCCACCCCAACTACTGAAAATTTAATTTGGATATATATGCCTCCAGACAGTCTGAGATCAGCTGTGTACAGATCCTTTGTCACTTGTGATGATCCCAAAGGTGTTGTGGAATGTACGACAATCAGAAAATCACAAATGGAAAAAAATGTGTATTGTTCATCAGACAAGGAAAAAGGAAGAGAAACAGTCAGCAAAGATAATCACACATCTTCGTTCCAGCTAATGGAGCTGTCCAGAGAAGCTCAAAATCTGAACCAAGTGATCCACTCATGGTCTAAGGGTATGACCATAGAAAGACATTCGAATGATATCATCGCTAAAGATTTGTTGAAAGGAGCCCTTGATTTACAGGAATCACTTGTGATGCTAGGGAAGCTGCAACAAGCTTCACAACATATGGCAAAGTTGAAGAAGAAGAAGCAGAAAGATACGCCTCAACTTGATGGAATACCCATTCAAAGAACCAAGTCTGAAAGGATTTCAGAACACAGGCTTGAGTTTCAAAAACCAAGATTTTCTGTTGATGGGGATTGTTTTGATGAGCTTAGGGAAGTCATAAGAGATAACTTTGCTAGACAAAATCTGCTGCAACCAAATTGTGCTTCACAAAAGTCTCGGTTTCAAACAAGTGAAAAGGCATCTGTTGATACAAGGAACATGATTATATCATCACATGTCCCATCCACTAGTTCAAGCCAGTCCTCCATTGTTCAATCCCAACAAGTGACCGCTTTTGATTATTCCCTGCCTCAGGAGAAGCCAGACGGGCCAAATTTAATTGCCAGACTGATGGGTCTTGAAGAAATTCCTAGAAAGCCCCAGCACCAAACTACCCAGAAGCACTATGAGAAGAACAGGGTTGTCAAGCAGACCAGACCTATATTTGAAATAGATTTGCCAAAAGCAAAGAAGCCAACATTCATCAGTCACAAGGTGGATCCAAAAAGAAAAACATTGGATGAAATAATTGAAACCATGCATTTTAAGGGGCTTTTGAGAAGCAAGTCTACACATAAATCTAATAGTGTTTCAGGTTTGATAAATAAGTTTGTTGATTCTCCACCCATTGTGATCATGAAGCCTCTATATTCACAGGGTGAAATGTTTCCTGCCTGTAACCATGAACAAAATCCATCTGGCTCTAGAAACAAATGGGAAGAAAGTTCATCTGATGATCAGAAGGGAGCATCGAATTTCACCATATATAGGAAAATGCAGACAGGAAAAGATCATAATAATAGATACAGCAAAGAAAAATGGCGCAAGGATCATGGTGAAGCACCTTCAAAATCAAAGACTCTTCAAGTTTTGATTCAGCCTAAAACAAAGATTATAGCTTCTTCTGCTGGAAAGTATCGTGGTGAAGCAACTGCAAAATCAAAGACTTTTGATGTTCTGAGTCAAGAAAAACAGCCTAATACAAAGATTAGAGCTTCTTCTCGGGGCAAGGATCTTGGTGAAGCACCTTCAAACTCAAAGATTCTTAGAGTTCTTCTGCAAGAAAAACATCCTAATGCAAAGATCAAAGCTTCTTCTCCTGGCAAGTATAGTGGTGAAGCAACTGCAAATTCAATGACTGTTAAAGTTTTCATTCAGGAAAAACAGCCTAATACAAGGACTAGAGCTTCTTCTCCTGGAAAGACCGGGAAACCAAAGAAAGAAGCAATTGGAAAAAGAGAGGACGGGACTCGACGAGTAGCTCCTGCTATCAGAAACTCTAAAGAAATGAAAAATGCCAAAATAGACGACAGTGCTAAATTTCAGGACCAATGCAAGATGAGCACTGTGAAAGTGAGAAAACCAGAGAGAAAACCATTGGTTGCACAAGCAAAAAGTACTATATATGATCCTCAGCACATCACAACCACTGCATCTCATAACTCCATTAAGAGGAAGAAGAATGTTAAAGCTGACAAGTCCATCAAGAGTACCCCCATTGCTACAGTGAGTACATAGTTATAACTTATATTTTTGAGTTTTAACCATCTTTCTTCTGGAAGCTATGTTTCTCGTCTCTGTGTTATTATTTATTGTACAAGTTCCCTTTTTAACACACATTTAGGGGACACTATTCTGTAGATGTTGGTCCTCATGTGGAGGATTTCTTTGGTATTGTCCCAGACTAATGGAATATATTGATACAGGTTGACAACATAGAACACAAGGATGAAAATATAGAAATGGTGCAGGCAGTAGATAAAGACACAGATATAGCCATATCCGAAGTTACATTCTCAGAAGAGCTTCAGTTAGAAAAAGGGGCTAATATCTTTGAGGATCTTGTCACCGGTAGGCACTTACTTCATTATTTTGCCAGTTTTATGCATACGTTCTGGTAACTATAGAAACATTTTTTCAATTATTCATCATACAGAGGCATGTCGAGTAACTATAACGTTGAGTGTTGCAATGTGGTTAGATATATATGCTAGACATTGTTCAACAAACAAGAATGATATTATCTCCATATCTAAGAGACCAAATATGAATAGTATTTATATTCTTCTTTTGCAGCTTAGAATATTTTCTTTCTTCTTAACTTGGGAATAATGATATATATGATGATAATATAGTAGTTTAGTTGACAGCACAGCAGCTTTATATAACCAAAACATTAAATGAAAGATCTGGCGGACTCAAAAGCTTCCATAAAATCTTTAAGTATACGTGCAGTTGACAATGAAGATGTTCTGATATTCTTGAGAAGCTATAAGAAGTTGTTTTCTAGTAAGACTTATGAATATTTATATCTTGACAACTCAATTACTGTCTTTCTGTGAGGAAGTTCCAAATCTGTAATGAGATACAATCTACTAGCTAGAATCTTAAAGAACAAGTGTTGAAGTAACCTGCTAGAAGTAATTGAAGTGTTCTAACGCACTTCAACCTTTTAATGCCACACACGGAGTGTTATTATAATTGTACTTCCCTGCCTCTTTCTTCTTCCATACCTTAAGAACCACGATAGAAGATGTTACACTTGGAAGTACCTACTTATAGTCATCACTCAAGCTTCAATAGCCCTTTTGTTATCTTATAGGAAATAAATTCTTCACACAACTTGTGGTTGATCCAAGAAGATTAATCAGTTGTCATTGTGAAAATATTCTAAAATATTACTTCTTCAATTGCAGATAATGCTGTCAATGGTGAAAGTGTCCCTTGTGAATCTAGCGTTCTATCAACCTATTGTCTCGGTGACATCAAATTAGTGGAGCAGATTAACTGTAACATCAATCTAGACTTCGCTGAGAATGAAAACTTAGACTCCGGAGCCACTACAAGGCATTTACTGTTGAGCAGTGAATCGTTCCTCTGTCAGTGCGAGGAGCTTTTTGAAACAGATGTGTGGGAACTAACTGTATGGCAGACAACTAGTGTAGATCATGAAATTGCTCATAGATCACTCTTACTTGATTGTGCTAATGAGTTATTAGAAAATAAAAGGTCCCAATGTGCACTGGCAGTTAATCCGTTATCACTGAAGGCCATTAAGATGAGAAAATATTATGTATCCTTTGACAAGTTGATGAATGAAATTTGTGATGGGATTGAAGTTCTGCGATGTTACAATAAGGTGGCTGGCAAGAACCTTTCAGCTGATGCTCTTTATCCACTGCTAGAAAGAGATCTATGGTGCAAGGGGGTGGTCGGCAATGCATGGGATCTGGCTTGGAGAACTGGATTATCTAACAATGAAGTTGAACAAGTGGTAACTGACATTGAGAAGTATCTTTTAGCTGCATTTATCGATGATTTGTTGACCGACTTCATGCTATAGCACTAGTACATATTCAGGTGGGCGATTTAGGAACTTGACTTATATAATCTGTGAAGTTGGAGAAACTTTAAAGTTGTCTCCGTGTGACCTATTGGTCATGGCTTCGAGCTGTGGAAGCAGTCACTGTAGGTCTACATCACACCCCTTGGGGTGCGGCCGTCCCTGGACCCTGCTAAGGCAGAATGCTTTGTGCACTGGACTGCCATGCCCCACTTATATAATTTGTAAATAAGAATCCAATAGAGGAGTTGAAAAAAGGTTTTAAGAAGCTGAGGAGTAGAAGTTACTAGCTCAAATTACGTTTTAATGCTGAGTTGATCTTAAATTTGTACATTTCTTGCTGATATAGTTATGTAAATGTATTGAATCTAGATATGATTTGTTCTATTGCAATTTCGAAGCTTGATTAGCTTTGTAGAGTTTGTCAAAGCAACCAAAAGCAGCACTTGGATCACAAACTTGATGAGAAACCACGTTTCTGCAATAAAATAATTGAATTACACTTTATTTAGAAGGTTGCAATATATGTTTTAGTTTATATAACTTTGTAGAAAAAAATTCTATTACGGGCGAGGCATACCAAGTCATACTTGTATGAGACATTATTTGATTGACAAATGGACAACTATGAGACCCGCATCCCAAGTTGTCAAAGACCCATTGTTCTTTTTCATACTAAAATTAGTTCCCCTCCACCCCCTCCTCTTTATCTTCTTCCTTGTTTAATTCAACCGCTATTAGTTTTCTTTTTTTCTTGGGAAAATGACGCTTTTAGTCCTTGAGTTATCGCGTAATTTCTCTTTTAATCTCTGTGACATCTGACTAAGCACTTTTCGCCTTCAATTAAGAGATGACAAACAATTATCTGTCATGATAAGCCTCAAACATATATGCTATTGAATACCCTATTTCTAGGAATGCTTCGTATTTATAGAATCTAATAAGGAGACTTTTCATGAAGTCGTTCATTTTCTGAATAGGCACAACCTTTAGTTGCTCTCTTTCTGAATAGACAACTTTTTGTTGCTTCCCTGTCTTAACCGACAAAACTTTTTGTTTGCTCCTTTTATGATGAGACAACACTTTTTGTTTAATTTAAAATTTAAATATTAAATAAACAATTTTTTTCAAAAATAAATTACAAAAAATAAATCTTTTAATTTAATTTAAGATCCGACCTGACCAAAATAAATAAATATGCGACTCAATTAAATATAACAAATTCAAGTCCAATCATTTATATATATAAGTAGACTTAAAAGGACCTAAAAAATGGCTTCTTCCACCAATGTGAAAACTTTTTTCTTTATATATACACCATTGTTTTCTTCTAGACAAGATTTCGTATTTCTGTTCTCATTCCTAAGATCACCATTTGTTTAATCATCAACATTACAAATAGGCCACAAAACATCCTGATCCCCTTCATTTCTCATCCTTGATCAATCTCTTGAACTCCTAATAAACTACTTTGTTTGAACTATTTCCTTGAACTCTAGAAATTACCTTGAACATTTGATAATTATCTTCGATTGCTATGACATATTAATTTCTTTAATTTAGCTAGCGTATGGTCACAAATTTCCAAGTATTTTTGGTAACTCAGTTTTGGGTGAAGTTTTGTCATCTGTTTGATTATATAGACTAGTAAATGGATCCGCGCTTCGCACGGTTAGAACATTCTTCTTTAAATTTTTGTAGAATTTAACTTTTCTTGTATTTTGATGTTATAGTATTTTTATATAAATCTGTTTTTAAGAGTATAGAGGGTATTCAATTGTAGTTTACCATTTGTTTTATTAAAAGAAAAGGCAAAATTACAAATCATAACACTATTTTAATTTCTCCTACTTTACATAATTTCATTTTACAGATTTGAAATTTTACAATGGTTAGTTTATTTTTATCATCTATATGCATGGTTACATAATGTCTTTAATTAGAGAGTCAAATAAATATTTTTCTCAATTTTCTTCTTTGCAAATTTCGTTAGTATAACACTATCAATTACTTTCAAAATATTAAATATTTTTAAAAAATATATATGTATAACTAATGTGTTTATCAAGAGCAAAGGTTCCATAATCATATGATATACCAATAAGTAATATGTAGTCATTATGTGTTTTAAAATTAAAATGCAATCTTCCAAAATCCAAATTTCGTATGTAATATAGTTATGATAATGTTTTGAAATTGAAGTTATGCACAAACAAAATATTATGGATCCTTGAAAAGGATGAAAGAGAAGTAAGGGAAAATGGGAAAAGTTCAAAAAAGTACTTTTGTGTGAGAGATTAGTCATCATTGTGTATCATATAATTGGAATTAATTGCTAGTTTTAATTCTATCATTTGACTTTCTATTTTTTTAACTCATGTTAATATTAACATTATTATGACAACAACAAAAATCATATAAATTTTTAGGCTTGATCTCTTGGAGAAGAAAAGACTTCTTTGGAGATTGTTGTAAATAAATGTATTATGTAAAAAGTTATTTGTGAATCTGCAGTAGTTGGATTTACATAGAGTCTGTACTGACACATACTTATAACAATATCTTTACAGAAACATAAACAACAACGTTTAAAACATGTACTCAAAAACAACAATTAATATCATAAGCATAAATTATGATTGTAAAAAAAAACATACCAGGATCTGTGACAATATAATGAAACAGAAAGAAAAAATAAAGTCCACTGAATGCACAGTGTCTCCTTAAGAAAATCACTCCCCTCTAGTACCCGAGGTTTATAGAAACCGATCCTCTCAGGATGAAACTATTTTATTCACCAGTGTATTGATACAAAAAATAATAGTGTCAGTGAGCCACTGAACATGAGCAATGTACACAAATAGAAGAAGAAGAAGAAGAAGAAGAAGAAGAAGAAGAAGAAGAAGAAGAGGAAGAGGAAGAGGAAGAGGAAGAGGAAGAGGAAGAGGAGGAAGAAGAAGAAGAAGAAGAAGAGGAAGAAGAAGAAGACGAGGAAGAAGAGGAAGAGGAGGAAGAAGAGGAGGAAGATGAAGAGGAGGAAGAAGAGGAGGAAGATGAAGAGGAGGAAGAAGAGAAGGAAGAAGAGGAAGAGGAGGAGGAGGAAAATAAGTCACGACCCAAAGGTACCCCTGGAAGTAATAAGGCACATAGAACCCCGAAAGGCACCATGTAAGCCACTTAGCATATCATAACATAAAGCATTAGAACAATAAGTGTAAAAGCGCACTTAAGTCCAAAAGATCTTTATAAAGGAAAGCGGAAGTTTAGATTTGTCTCAATTAGCCATCTATTACAATAGTTCAAATGAAAAGGGACATTGCCCATACAACATTGTTTGGAAATGAAATACTAGAAATGAAACTCAAAGTGAATCACCCGTCCTCGAATCATGAGTACTCACACAAGCAAGGAGAATAGTCGAATACAAACTTGAACCAAATGATAACCGACTCAAGAACCAGACCCTACACTTGAGAAAAATGTAGGAAAATATGGGTTAGTACAAAAATGCACCAAGTATGATAGCCATGCATAAAATCATGAAAATATGCTAAAAGGGACATTTTAGTTGAATGCATGCCATTTACTAAAATTCTTGTTCATATTAATGTGCTAGTGGGAATAAGCCTTAACCAACATAGACCATGTGAGCTAACATGGAATCTGGTGTCTACCCCACACTGAAAATGGGTTATTCTACTTGCCTAAGGTAGAACCATACTCTTAGCTTAGGTGGATCCACTAGCTAATGACCTATGTGGACACATAGTTATGGGATAAGGATATTGCTACTAGAAACCCAGACTCAACTAAGGTATAAGGTTTCCATCTCATGAGATACATACCTTGTGAACCCGGACTCAACTAAAGTAGAAGGAACCCATTTGGGAAGCCAGACTCAACTATCGTATAAGCTTCCATCTCATATTCATATCCACTCGGTGCTAGGCATTAATTCCCATAGATTACATATTAAGTCTTGACTTAAGTTCATATTCATGGAAGAATTTCTTGACACTCAATCCAACATAATTCATACTATAGCTCATAGATTCAATAGGTGAGACTAGTCTTCCAACCTTAAAATCACTACATGTGACAAACCTTTCACATCATATCATATTCATACATAAGTGTGTACATGAGAATATCTTCCAACAACACAACAATTAGATCATAATCATATTCACTTTACTCTCAAAGTGTTCATAAAGCATATACCTTAATCTTATATTCATTCATAATTCTCATACTTTGCCCTTCAAGGACCATAAATCACAATCCATCAACACATCTAGAATTACTACATTAGACATGGATGATAACATTATTCAAGTAATTCAATTACTAGATGCATAATTCTATCATATTCTACTTGCATCAATCAATACTCACAGTTTGAGATCCAAATTGGGAAAATAGGAAAATTTATGGATTCTTGGGGAATTCAAGATAAAGCCATATAAAATCATCAATATATCCATAATAAAACATAATTTAGTAATTAAAAACGAATTTTAAAGGAATCCATGAGATTGAAGTCAAACCCTAACTTTTGGGATTTCTAGCTTTGAAATTGGGGTTTTTGAAAGGGCTCCATGGATGAAAACTATCCGTGGATGAAGAGCTACCATACCTTGGTGATGAATCCCTACAAAATTGAGTGAAAAAGACTTCTTCTTCAAACCCTAGCTTGACTTTCTTCTTCTTCTTCCTTAGAGTTCTAGAGAGAGAGAGTTTTGGGGGAAAGTGGGTTTTGATTTGGGAGATTTAGAATCACGAGGAAGATAACTTGATTTGGGGGCCTTAAAACTATATATTGTTAGTCTAAATTAATACAAAATGATGTCACTTAATATTAACTTAAAAAGAAAAACGCTATAATGCATGCCCCTAACTAAAACTGCCTTTTGGCAGTTACATGCCTCACCCACGACACACGACCACGGTCTGTGGGTGGACTCACGTGGCGTGCTGTCCATCCGTGGAATGGGGTTCTAGGGCCTGTTTTGCAGGTTCGACCCATGACCCTCACTGACGGACCGTGGTTGGACTCACGACCCGTTTTGTTGA